TTGATGTGAAAAATAAACTGCAATCATTCAGAGATTCTTTAGAATCAAAGGCTTGTTCCTCTCTGGTGGCTAATAGTGTCCATTTTTTTCAGCTGTCTGCTTCACCACCCAAATCTGGAAGTGAATTGGCTGATGTTTACATGCAGAATGTTAAAATGGCATTTACATCTCCACTGCTCCTTGGCTGTTATCTCCTTCAATTGCACAATGAAAATGTCTGGCTACTGAAATGCCAGAGTGAACACGGCCTGATTATAAAATGTGCAGGGGTGAATTGTCAGAACGCATACACTCCACACTTAGCCAGATACAACTCTCCAACCTCTCCCAGCCCTTCCTGTGTGACCTCAACAGTGTGGCATTAGTGATACAGTCTATGACTGGTCATTGAGTCGGACAATGAAATCCATTTTCTCAATCAGCATTTACTGAGCATCTACTGTGGGAGGACATCTGTTGTGATCAACTCAACCTGGTTTGCATGGAAATTTCCAGATTTTTTTGTTTTGCCTTTCAGTGAAATTTTCACCAAACTATATCATTCCTGCAGAACAACATCATACCTTAATATATGTGCTTCTCTCACCCACCACCAAAATTCTAGTTCACAATGACATTCTCCAGCCTTTCCTTCCACCCTCCTTAATCTTTCTATCAGGTAACCATCATATTGTTTTCAGAGTCTAAACATTATTTTTGTTTTGTTTTGCCAGTCGGTTTTCTTTGGTTGTTTATCACAAATGAGTGAATAAACCAACAATTGTCCTTCACTTTCTCACTTATTTCAATTAGCATAACCAGACCTATTATTGAAAATGCAGTTTTGTCTTTTTGACAGTTGAATAATATTCCACTGATTATGTTGCTTTATTCAGTCATCCATCAGTGGGCATTTGGGTTGTTTTTGTGCCTTTGCCATTGTGAATACTGCTGCCACTAACCTAGGGGCACACATCTTTCCATACTAGTGTTTTCATATTTTCCAGATAAACACCTAGGAGAAGTAGTCCTGAGTCATATAGTGTGTTCAGGTTTAGTTTTCCATAAAGGCTGTATCAGTGTTATATTCCCACCAAAAGGGAGTGCTCTTTATTCTTCATGCCCTGCCAAGACTTGTTGTTTCTGGTCTTTTTGACAAGAGTCTTTGCCACAGGAGTTATATGGTATCTGCATAGAGATTTAATTTGCATTTCACTAATAAATTATGATGAGTATGTTTTTCATGTACCTGGTTACCGTCTGTATGTCTTCTATGAAGATGCATCTATTTAGGTCTTTTGCCAATTTAGCATTGAAAATTGGGCATCCCAGCATTCCTGATTTCCTGGGCAAACTGACATGGTTAGTCTACATATTCTTAAGAATTCTAGAGCTCTATCTAGAGTGACCAGTTGCTAAAAGTGTGCTGTAAGTTCTCATTTTGTATACAACTATGTGATGATCCTATGATTTCTCAACTACTCTGGAATAAGTTGTGGAAATTATAAACTGTTAACACTGAAAACTGAGTGTCTCCTAAGAACACAACATTCTTCACATTGTATAATCATACCACAGTATGATTCCATATTCAGGAAATTTAACACTGATGCTTTACTACTCTCATGTAAAGTCAGTATTCACACGTTGCCAATAATCTCAGTAGCGTCCCTTCCAGAACCATGCATTGCATCTGATGTCCTGTCTCTCATTCCCTACCACTGGAAGCTCTTTAGCCTTTCTTTGTCTTTTTTTTTTTTTAAGATTTATTTATTTATGCATACAGAACTGGGGTACAGGCCAGAGGTTCAGGGGCAGTGAGAGAATTCACCAGAGACAGAGTGGGGGGCAGAACAGGCTGACTGACGAAGTACAATGCTGAGAGGAGCAGCAGGTGGGTCAGGAGAGGTCTGCCGCTCCATGTGGATCACCTCCGGGGTGGGTGGGGATCGAACTCATGCTGAAGTGGCTTTAGCTTCTTAGTGCTGTGCTTTAACCCACTGCGCCACCAAGGAGGGCCCCAGCCTTTTTTTTTTTTTTTTTTTTTTTCTTTTATGAGTGACAGTTTTGAGAAGTAGAGGCGAGTTGTTTGGTAGACTGTTCCCCATCCTGGGTTGGCCTGATGTGTCCTCATGATTGGGTCCAGGTTGTGAATTCCAGCTGCATAAGTGACACACTCCTGTCCCCTCTCTTCAGGAGGTGCCCATACTGATTTTTGCCAAGATAGAGATTGGCTAGGTGGGGTAATGAGTCATCTGTGGGAGGTATTTTGAGACTGTCACTATCCTACTTTCCATCATTCTTCAACCCATGGTTGTTTACATTTGCTTTGTTTGCTAGAATGACCAAAATAAAGCACTACCAAGTAGTGGCTTTAAAAAAATAAAACAGGAAGGGATTGTCTCATGCTCTAAAGTCTACAAGTCTGGAAAGACAGTGTCCCCAGGATAGGTTCCTTCCAAGGCTCGGAGGATATTCTTCTGTGCTTCAGAGCTTGTGGCAAGCCATGGTGTTCCTTGGCTTGCAGACACATCCTCCAGTCTCTGCCTCATCCTCACAAGGTGTTCTCCTGAGTGTCTCTGGGTCTGTGTCCAAATTTCCCCTTTTTCATGAGAACAAAATCACATCAGATAATGACTCAGCCTACTGACCCCCTTATCACTTGATTATCTGCCACAACTTCATTTTCAGCTGCCACCACTTCATTTTCAACTGAGGTCACACTCACAGGTACTGCAGTTAGACTCCACATCTTCTGGGAGAACACAATTCCTCTTTCAACAGCTTTTATTGATGATACTCGCTGAGGTCAATTATGACTATGATGGTGGCAGAATGCTTTTTCTAAGTATGCTTCAACATTTATTACCTGCGAGGTCTTTTATAACTGATAAAAAATTAATCTATGAGTGGATAGAAGTGGTCACATATCTTTGAGATGAAAAAATAAAAAGCAAATAACAAACATGTAAACACCACCGTTTCAAGCCTGGTGAGCAGAAAAGGACTGACCTTCATCACAAAGCCCCTGACTCATGAAATTGTCTGGAAGTAGAGCCCAGTGACCCTGTGAACCGAGGCCAGTACAACTGAGGAATCAGAGAGTGCAGGTTGCAAGCCATTCTAGACATTACTGTGACTCCGCGCAATGTCATTTCTCTTGGACTTCTTTGACGCTCTAAACTAAAAGAGCCCCCCCCCTTTATTTGAGGAGATGTGCAAGACTCTCAAGTTCATCATTCTGTTCCTCTTCAGTCCTTCATGAGTCAGCAGATATTTCCCAGAACTGAAGCTTCTATCATTATCAGTATTATAAACAAATCTGCATAATTCTGAAACTACGGAGAAACATGACAGAGGACAAAACATAATGTCAGAGCTCTTTTATTTCTTGGTGTTTACACTTAAATCCAACTTATGATCTTTGGAGTATTCTCTCAAATCTATACTCCATATACAATCATCAGACCACTTTGCTGCCAAAGGCTGTCAATCTCAAATACTCCATAATGCCATTAAGTCTCAGCAGTTCTCTCTTCAAATATGCTTTGTCATTTTACAAAAGGGTATGTAATAGAGGACCACAGGCTGGATGGCTAGAGCACAGAAATGTGTTCTCTCACAGATGGGAAGCCTAGGAGTCCACAGTCCACATCTTGACAGGATTGGTTCTTTCTGATGCTGTGAGGGACATATACTCTGCAGCCCTCTTTCCTTGGCTGGCAATGTTTGCCCCCTTCTATGCCCCTCATGCTGTCTTGCCTCTGTGCCTCAATGACTGCCATCAGCATTATGGCCCTGGACATCATTTAAACTTCCTTAACCACTGTCAGGAAGCTCTCTCCAAATAAGGTCACATCCTGGCTACTGAGGGCTTGACCTTCAGCATATAAACTTGGGCAAGAGATTTAATTCAGCCTATAACAAAGACACCTCAGCCATCCACAGACCTTCTCAGTGTTCACACAGACGGAATAGAAACATCAAGTAGTGACTGCCTGACCACAGGTGCTACTTACAGAGCCAGAGGAGTATGGAATCAATCTCCCTGCTTTTCCATCAGTGAAAAGTCAAAACTGAGCCTGAAAACACTATTGAAAGGCCCCTGTGTCCTGGTCCTCTACCCGTAGAGCTGTGAATTTCCCACTGACCTGTGTTTAGAATGGCTTTTGTCTTCATGGTGCTAGAGCTGTTGAAGTGGATTTGGGTAGCTGTTCACGTTCAAGTGTGTGTTGTGTGGATCTGTCATTTGGTCAAGAGCAGAGGTGGCAGTTGCTGACTTAGTGACAATGTTTGTTGTTTCAGAAACGAGTAGACCAATCAGGGAAGCCTTGAGTCTCGTGTGGTGGTGTTGTTTAGGGACATGTATTTGAATCCACGCAAATGAGTTCTTAAAAAAAAATCGATTTATTTATGCATGCAGAATTGGGGTACAGGCCAGAGATGCAGGGGCTGTGAGAGTCTTCACCAGAGACAGAGTGGGGAGCAGAACAGGCAGATCAACGAAGTACACTCCTGAGGGGAGCAGCAGGTGAGATAGGAGAGGTCTACTGTGCCGTGTGTGTCACCTCCCTCCTGGGGATGAAACTCGGGCTAAAGTGGCTACGGCTGTGGCTAGCTTTGCAGCGCTGAGCTTGAACCCTTTTGCCACCAGGGAAGGCCCCCAAGCAGATGAATTCTAAAGAATATATTAGACTGTGTGCATGGGGACTCACAACAAGAGACAGACCCAAAGCCAGTTGAGATGCTTCCTAAGGTTTTTCCTTCCGAGGATAGGAGAACAGAAAAGATGGAACCCAAAAGCCAGTGACTGAGAACTCTCTGCCAGAAGCTAGATTGAGAGCGGAGGGCAAGAGGCATCCCTGGGCAAGAAAACCCATGACAGTCTCTTTTGGAGAGCTGGTGCCCAGCTTGTACAAGTCCTCCCCAAGACTCTCTAACCTTCACCCCATTGTGTCTCTGTGTGGGAACAGACAGCGCCTGGGACTATATTTACTCTCTTCCCTTGGTTTCTTAATCAGGTCACAGATATCAAAGAAAAACTGAAGCTCTCTAAAAAGGTCTGGTCGGCGTTACCCTACACGATCTGCAAGGACGAGAGTGTGACAGCGGGCACATCCAACCAAGAGGACTGCTGGAACGGGCACAGCAAAGCCAGGTGAGGGCGACACGTGGGCTGACGGCAGCCTGCGTCTGCAGCCCTGCAGGGTTGTCCTGGCACCATGCTGCAGACTTGTTTGTGCAGAAAGTGTCGGAGGGTGGAGGGACAAGTTGTCACTTAGCAACAGCGGCTCAGAGAGGCAGGCTGGATGGACACTGGGGAGCACCTTTCCCTAAGGCCACTGAGCGTGGCATCCTCGTGCTGAGTGCCCAGCTGCTGGGTGAGGCTGGGAGACCGGGCAGATGCCGGGGGCAGATATCCTGCGATCACAAGGAGCTCCGTGAGGTGCACTGAATGACTGCAGGAGACCAGAGTGTGAGCGCCATCATTAAATTGAACAGTTTACATTTTTGGTCATCACAAGTTACATAGAAGTGACAGTTCTAATGTCACTCTTGGGGGAAAAAATATTTTTTATTCTTTTTTTTTTATATATATTCATGACATCATCCTTCAGTTTTGTACAATGTGTGACTTCCCCATGAAGTCCCCAGCACCCATTCCCCTGCATCATCACCATATCCCCACACTCTTCCCACCCCTATCCGGGTCCTTCTCCCTCCTCTGCCCCTGCAGAGTGCCTCAGATCTGTAGCTGCCTCATGATGGTGATTTTTACTTTGTCATAGTTACTTTGGGTGTGTGTGGGGGGGAGGTTAATTGCTCACAGGGAATATAATGGGAAAGGAAATGAGAGGGCACAACCAGGAGAGTGCCCAGTAGGCCTCAGGAGTCCTGTGGCAATCTTCAGTTGGCACATGGCACGGTCTTCCTCCTTCCCAGCTACCCAGGACCCTGGCCACTTGGTATGGAATTTCTGGATTTCTTAATTCAGCCCAGAAATGGACTTGGCCTGCGTATGCAAGGGGTGGAGAAGTTGGACCAGGGAACTGGCTGAGAGCTGGCAAGGAGGACAGGACACCGGGAGAGGAGGCTGGCCAGGCCTCCTCAGCCAGGGTGCGGGTGGATAGAGCAGCTGGCGAGTTGGACTCAAGGAAATCTTTGGGGGTTGACCAGCAGGTGGAGAAGCTAAGAGGGGAGCCTGTCCGGCTATTTCAAGTGTATGAAGCAACCGTGTTCAAAAAGGCTTTGTGGATATGTAGCTGAGCAGCTACTGCTGAAAGGAAAGCAGAGAGGCAAGCAAAGGGCTCACTGGCTATTACAGCTTACGCTGCTGTGTCTCATCTTGTAGCACCCATGCATTATGACTTTCTTAACCAAGCTTTCTTAACCCGAGCTTGGCACGGGGAAAGCAAGACAACTGTAGAAGGAGCTATCATCATTCGAAGGTGCTGGAAATATAAAATCTTGGACCATGAGGGCTCAAAAGGAAATTCACGATATCAATAGCATGCCCCTCAGAAATGCTCAGGAGAGGCCTTTTGTCTGGCACATTCCACTTTGAATAACATCTAATGTGTCTTTTTCTAATGACTGTAAATAAAGACCCTGTAAAGGATGACCAGATGGCTCCATGAATAAAGACAAGGCTTTTTCGAGCTGCTCTGATGCCCATCTGTGTTTACCTTCAGCCGGGCTAGAATGAAGGCTGAGTTTTGAACTACATTCCCATGGATAGTTATACAGGTTGTTGGTTATAAGCACATGTGCATGTTCTTACAAAGGGAAATATAAAAGTGATTGACAGTGGGGTGGAGGAGGATGACTCTGTATGGCAGATAAAAACCCTTGGCACTTGAGCTAGCAGTCATCAGGATATCTCAGCCAAGTTCCTCATGGTGCAGATCAGGAACCCAGAAGAGGTCAATGAAGGTCACCCAACTAGTAAGGGTGAAAAGCCCCCAAATTCCTCTGAGACATTATTAAGCACTTGCTGTGACCAAGCACCATGCAAGGCTCTGTAAATTCACTGTCACAAGGTGACAATGTAGCAACACAAGAAGTCACATACCGGAAAGAGGTCAGAGGATGTGGAACTTCGAGTACTGGGCAACTGGACAGTAGGTGGGGGAGGCCCACACGGTGGAGGGGCACCTGACTCAGTGTGCACGGGCCAGATATAATTTTGTCCTGACGTCAGTGGAACCCACTGAGGGATTTTATGCAGGTGAGGGAAATCATCCAATTTATTGTAGTAAATCATTTGCAGGAATACTCCAGAATTCAACACCATCTATTATTAAAGAGATGGGGCTGTCAAATGTTTGTGTCACCAGTGTTACTCCCATTGAGAATTTATGATTTCACATTTTCTTTTAGCTCCTTTTCTAAAATTCTGTCATTGGAATGGAATCTTAATGTTTTAACTTGCTACCTAATAGCATAGTAAGTAGATAACCAATAAAGACTTGTTGAATTAAATTTAATTGAAGCTTTCTTCTCATCCAAATATCAATTCATCTAGAAACACAAGAGAGAAGTTTTCATTTAAAAAATTTCCACTGAACTCTTGTAAGCTGAAAAGATTTGTAATGCAGATAACAACCAATTTTTGCCTTCTTAAATTTTTCGGTATAACTGTCTAAAAGGAAAGACAAGTTGTCTTATCACTCATGTGAAATAAAATAATGAAAACACTTATTTTTTTAAAAAGCCACATCCTTCAGTTCCATCCATTCATTCCTCTCCCTTTGCTAAGTGTTTGTTCCTGTGTTTCTGATTCTTTTCTAGAAGCTACTCCACCACTCTGTGCAATACCCCCTTGACTCAGAAGCACACGTATGCCACATTGTAATTTTCTGAAATCAAAATAACTCCTACAGTGGATAAGTTCTTTTATGCAGATGATCTTCCTTCTTTAGCCAAATAACTGCTACTGAAGAAGCAGCACCTTTTGCAATGAATGATGCCTTGGAATAGACAGAGACAAGACATGCACAGCACTCCTGCTTAGAGAGCACAGGGCGGTTCCGCTGCGTCCAGATAATGTTCATGGGTGTAGCCATGGCTCCCCAGAATACTCACCTTTGTGTCCCCACTACCCCACTCCCAGGCAGACCTAACTCTGCTTAAGTGTCTAAGCGGGTCTGGAGACAGGAGATGGAATAGGTGGAATTCCCTCTGCACCCTGGACAGAGAATTCAGGGGTGCCAGTGATGGCTCCACTCTGCCAGCAAGAGCAGGTGGTTAAGAGAACTCCCTTTTTGTTCCCTTCTCATCTCAACCTGTTGGAAGAATCTGTGTTGGCAGAGGTTGAGTGGAGTGTGTGCACACATGGGGGTGTGAAAATGTACCCACAAAATGATATGATATATATGTGACAGATAAATCAAGAAAATTTGAGAAAAAAAATTTTTAAATCATCAAACATGAACTCTGATTATAGTTAAATATTTGCTTTTCCATTTTAACTTTATCCAAAACCTTAAACAAAAAAAAATAAGAAAGAAAAAGGATAGAACGATCGCCTATGTGATCCAGGATGCCTAGACACTGCCCAGAGAATACAAGAAGGGCCCATCCGAAGGGCCCGAGCTCTGGAGATAGAAACACCTTAGTGCCAGGAAGGCAGCTTGATCTGTGCACACCATGGGTACTCTGAGGGGAAAACGAGGAAGTGGTGCCATTTGTGACGACATGGGTGGAGCTGGAGGGGATTATGCTCAGCGAAATAAGTCAGAAGGAGAAAGACAAATGCCAGATGATTTCACTCATCTGTGGAACATGAAGAAGCAAAACAAAGGAACAGAAGTAATTAAACCACAACAAGCATTAGAAATCTGCCTGAAGAATTGAGCTTTCTTCCGGGGAAGGTAGGGAGAGGGGTACACATGACAAGGGAGCCGAGACTGTGGTGGACAATTATAGGTGCTTTGGTGATGGATATGGAGGTCACCGCATCTGAAGAGGTATGACCCTGCACCTAAATCAAGGACAGTGTTACAAACCAACAATAAACATGATACAATTCTGAAAAGGAAGGAAGCAGAGCAGAGGGCGCCTCTTCAGGGAGGAGCGGGAAAGGGAGTTGGCAGGTGCTTTCCTGCCTCCCAGCTCCTGTTTCTCACTTACTTCTCAGGGAGAAATGAGAGAAGACTCAGCAAGCTTGACTCGACTCAGACAAATAGGAAGCCAGTGAGCAAGGGAGGAAAATCGATAATAATCTAGAAGACCAAAAGGAAAGAAATTAAAAGAGGCATGTGCAGGTTACAAATCTAGATCTCCTAAAGTTCCGGGGGTGAACCCAGGCTCCCCCCCACCCCCCAAGGACAGCTGCCGTCATCTGTCATCCCTGCGAAGGGCGTTCTGGGCAGCGGTGCGGCCGGAATGAGCTGTCTGTACAGGAGCTGGAGAAGAATGATGAGAGGGAAGCAGGAAAGTATAGGCTCAGAAGGAAATAAAACTTTTATATGGTGGGCATGTACCGCCAGGACTTTGTCAGGCAGCGGCCGCGGGAAAATAGAGCCCTTGTGGTGTCCACAGAAGGTCTTCCCTTTTTGGCTCACAAACAGCAGATTCTTGCTGAGGCTGTAACCAGCCATGTTTCATGACATCACCTGTATTTTCCTTGAGGATGTTTTTCTCTGCATGGGGATCCTTTTCTAGGCTGCCTGTAGCTGAAAGGGATGAGGGAAAAGGGGGATAGCACAGGAAGAGAGCAAACGAAAACCTACTGAAAGACAAGTCCCTACATCTTGTAGATTTCAGATAGGGTGTCGATGATTTCTATGTCTTTGGGGTGTCTGGAGTCAATTAATTATTTCCAGGCTCCTCACCTACCCACCCACCCCCAATATATGCAAGACCACATTCTATTTTACTCCCTTGCGAGCTGATGCTTAACCATCACTGCATCCTTCCTTTCAAATGCCTTCGGGGAGGAGGTGAGCACGATGCCAGCTGAAGAACGAGGATTAATTGAATCAGTTGGAAACAGTTTTTGCAGGGAGCCTCTGCTGTTTTTGAAGCAACTGATCATCACAGAAACAACTGTGTCCCCAAGGACATCTTTTCTGAGACCAGGAGGTAAATGGAGTAAACTGTAAGACACAGGAAAAGTAGAAAAGTCTGGAAAATAGATCAGTCACTTTCACCAGC